CCTAATCCTGTTAAGTGAAACCTTCAAATCCAAGGAAGCAGAAGTCTGTTGCTCCACTGAAACAGGGATTTGTGAAGGGTTTTGCAGAATGGTGAAAAACAAAGACAGAATTAACAAGCACAGAAGTGGCTAATAATATGTACAATTTTTGTTCAAGCAGTCTTTGAACAGCAGCCTGTCGAACATGCACTATGACATAAAGTTGCTCAGAAGTGGGAAAGTGGTATTTGTTGTTGTTATTTTTTAACCTTTAGTGCTTCCTCTGGGTTAGAGTATGCACTGAAATGTCACCAGCTTCACATTGCTTTTTAGTCTGACATGCCTCTATGAGAGTAGCAGGAGAGAACGATTGTAGCGTCTAGGTCTGCTTTACTAAGCTACTTTATATATACATATGTGTGTTTACAGGGTTTTTTACAGCAGTAGCAAACACAAGCAGCAAGCAGAAATAAATGTTTTTTGCTAGTAACTTTCTGCTAGACACTGTAGGAACTTCTATAAACCTGCAAAGCTAAATGGACAGATGTCCTGTGTCACGTGAGGCAGGTTTTTTATGCCAGACCCAGTGAAGGATATAAGTGCTCAAAGGTGTTGTATATTGCAGTATGTAACTCCTGGGGGCCTGACCAAACCCAGAGTGGGACACTGAACCTTTCTGTCCTGTGCCCTCGTGACTCTCCAGGAATTATAGGCCAGCCTGTGTGCTGGGCAGGAAACAACCTAGCCGTGAGGGAAATGCTGACACAATCAAGTACCCACAAATTGCTTCTCCCCATTGTCTTGCCACAGTTCAGCCATGTGTGGGGCTGCATATACCTTCACATAATCTAGAACCTTGTCATAAAGATTTAAGCTTTTTCTTAATAAAAAAACCATCAGAACAGTTCTTACTCTTTTCTCCTACAATGCAGCTGGTGAAGCAAATGCCACTTTCCTGTTCCCCTAATGTCCCACAGGAGGCATCTTTGTGAAGTTGCTCCATTGAACAGAAGATTTAAGATTCCAACAGTCGGTAGGAGAGCACAGGAGGGGATATGATTCTGTCAGCTAATGGTTTAGGGGAAAATTAGGAAGGCCTGTCTTCTGGTCCTGCTTCCAGGAATGTTCTACAAATCACATGGGAAGGGGCATTGTCTAGAAAAGAAGACAGAGTCCAGGAAGCAGCATCTAGAACGGCTGTGTATTGTGCTGCCCTTGCATTAAAGAGCACAGAGCAGTAACATTAGATGCAGTGTGAAGTTTTCTGATTGATTTCACTGAAAAAAGCTTCAGCACTCACAGAAGAGCCAGATAAGCAGGATTCCTCCCCCTCGCAAAAACACACACGCACAAACACAAGACTACCATCCACTGAGACAAATTTATACAGTGATGAACTGATACTATCAAGGCAATGGCCTCAAGTGTTTGTTTAAACTCTTACACAAAGGTCAGCGGAGTGTTGAAAATAAATGAAAGCACGGGCTGTGAAAATTAATCAATGGGGAGTCCCTGGGAGGACCTGCAGAACTGCTGCAGTGTGGGGCAGGGCCGGTCACTCCCTGCCTGTGCAGAGCCGAACACAGCCTTGCAGCTCAGCTCCAGGAGCACCTGAGCATTACACATTGTTTAATTGGGGCCAGCTTGTGTGGCACTGTGGAAGGCAAAAAATTCGTCAGTCCTTAGTCTGTATGCCTGAGAACTAGGGAGATGCCTGCATGATAGATACTAATTAGTAGAAGGGCATACAGTCTGAATAGATGTGGCTGGCAAGGAGCATCCAGGGAAGGAGAGGCACAGATAAGAAAACACTGAAAGAACCTTCTGCCTCCACCCTTCTGAGTTTACTGGGTATTTAATCTTTGTCAAGTGCACATCACTTGAATATCCTTTTATTAGGAAGTCCAAATCTCATTTTATTATTAGCCACTTGAGTAATACATTGGTTCCTAAAATACTATTTAAAATAGAGAACAGGAAAAGTGCATTCATTTTTTTTTCTTTTCTACTCGTACAACTTCTTGTTCCCAAAGCCAGCAGGTTTTGCTTTAACTTTCACAAAAAGGAAATTAACTTTTTGGTAAAGACAGGGTTTTCAGAATGTCTGCTTAGTTGGTTGAGAACAAGAATGACTATAAAGAAGCTTACAATGGAAGTTCATACCCTCCTTAATGGTAGCATTGCAGCACAATTTTATCATACAGAAAGGTGAACGCAGTAGAGAGAATTCTCTCCCTGCCCTCATACCATGTTCATAGTTTATTCCCTTCTGCTTTGGATCCACCCTTCTTTGTCTTTTTTCCCTGCTCTAGTTCTTCTCAACAAAGCCTTTGCTAAAACTAAGCAAGCAAAAAGGAAATGCACAGCACTGAATTGGCATTCCAAGACCATAAGATTCTTTACTCTGCTGCTATATTCTGTTCCTCTGCTGTTTAGACTGGGACTGGACTACCTTCCTCTGCTGGAGCTTTGGTATCAACAGAATTTTGTAGATGCTTCAGTAATACTTGTAAGTAAACAGAAGTAACAAATGGAAGGCAGATGCCCAAACTGGACCTAGAGTGCTTTTTTGATCCAGAATTGAGGTAACAGCTTAATTAGAAGAAACGCAATTGTGCAGGCGTAGACATAGGTATGTGCAAACTCAGGAAATAATCTCCAGATTTCAGATATCCGCGAGATCTTTCTGGTGTTGAGTGCGTTATATGCAGTACCACTGAAGGGCTGGTTTCTAAAAGCCTTTATTTTAACCTCATAGAATTATTTGCAGCCTTATCAACTGAAGCCTCTTTCCCCTACTTATCTACTGGCTCACCGAGGCACTCAGCGTTGCTGACAGTTGCAGACACTGCTGCTGAGCAACAGACATGGTGGTGGCACAAATCGCTCTTTCTCTTGCAAAGATAGTGGGAATGTCCCGAGGGTTCAGACTGGCTTAACCTGGTTGCTTGTTTGTAGAGGATGTACTTATGCCAGTAAGGAATGAAATGTGCATAGAAATACGGTATCTCCCTTGCCTTTGGCCTTGTTTTTATTGGCAGTGAAATTCTACTGCACTGAAGCTGCTTCGTGGGAGGGATAACTACCTGTAACATTCCTCTGTGGGTAGCTGCATGACAGGGGGTATCTGTAAGGGGAAACAATACACTGGGATTCTCTGCTTGAAGCTCTTCTACTGCTGTATTGTTTAGACGTGCTGGCTAAGCTTGGTTTTGCAATTTTGTTATCTCTAGGAGTTCAGAAATCATGAATAAGCAGGAAAATGTCTGAGTTTGTTCTCCAAAATCATGAAATTACTTTTAGCTGCTTACCTGAGGAAACGAAGCTTATACAGTCATGCTTTGTATCCATCAGTCTGTCAGTTCCCTCCTACTAATATTTCAACCTGTTTGATGGTTTGAAACAAATTTGACAGAGAGATTTTGTCTCAAAGATAGTATCTTCCTACATGTTTGTGAAAGTAGGTAGCTGGAGTAAAGAGAGAATTCCTGTTGAGTCATAGAATTAAAGGATAATTTAGGTTGGAAGGGACCTCTGAGGGTCTTTTGCTCAAAGCTGCTGCAGCCTACGGCACTGGCATCAATAAATTACTACACATCAGGGAGTCCATATGTGACAGTACAATTATGAATTATAGAGGAACAGTTTGTATTGAATCCTTCACATTAGACACGGGAGACTCCATCACAGGGCATAAATCTATGGGACAATTCTTTCATAGCCATTTTGCTCACAGAGCATCTTGTTTCTAATTGGTCTCTTATTTCAAATTTTTAAATCTTCTGCCTGTCTTCAGCAATTCGGTGCAGGGAGGCACTGTTAAGATATATCCATTAGGATTATGAGTTCTTAAATCAGAGGTGCATAAATGTCTGACAGGTGGTATGGCTGTGAAATTTTGGTTTGCATTTGCATCAACAACATGATGTTGAGCTCGTTTTATTCACTTAGTGGGGAAGAGAAAGGGTTAAAGTCAGCCATGACAGGATTCAGATCACTGAGAGCAGAGTCTGGACTTCCCAAAGTTGGGGGTGCCATTACTGTTGTTGGAGACAATAGCACATTTCCCATCAAATCCAGCACTGCATGATAATCCGAAATAGTACAGTTCATGTAGACAGAAGATACATCGGCAGGGACAGACTCATGAAAAGGGATCCATTATTCTTTGTGAAGCTACAGCTCATTAAATGCTGGTGAAAGGCACTATTTTGAGAAAGACTTGTTTGATAGTCACTGAACTGATCCAGTTTGAGCAAACCTCCCCGTGCTCTCTCAGCCCTCTCCTGAATAATTCCAAATGAGGGTAGAAGAACAAGCTAATGCTTGGTTTTTAAATAGAAATTTGATGGAATATACATTTGGAAGGCAAATTTATTGAAGTCCAACATATAATCTTAATATGAGCTTTTCAGTGTGAATATTGGAAAATTCATTGGTAGAGTTTAGACCATAATGTAAAAATGTAGGTGCTTTGTAAACTAAAAGTGATTGTGACTAAATCATATGGTTGCTATAATCTCAGCAGCTTCTCAGAATCTATGTAATTTCTCTTCCTCGTAGCTTCATACCTGATTACCTGTCTCTACTTTTCTATTTCTGTTAAGTTTTCTGTTTTCCAAGGGGAATACTAAAGGTTGGGTGGCAAGATGCTCTTGCTGAACAATCTGTTTCTAGCTATGATTTTTAGCTACTTTCTCCAGTGAGGATTACTAGCTTTACAAAATGTCTAAACATCCTGAAAATCTCAGACGTTTATTTTCTGCATAGTCTGTAACTTCTTTCCATAGATACCAACATGGCTGATTCTTTGGATAACATTTCCGTTCTTTGCAGTCCAGTGGCAAAGCTATTTGTTAGTTATAAGCTCCTTCCCAGCAACCCCCCTATATTGTAGACAGGTGCTCAAACTTTGATCTTGGTTATAAGGATGAAAAGAGTGGGATTGCTCCAGGCTTGTTTACCCCTGGAAGCTGGAATGAATATAGCTTTTCAAGTACTTGCCGTGTTGTGTATCTCACCTCCTGCTGCTGCCTCTCCTGCCAGGCTCCACAGTCCATTGTTAATAGGGATCTGTTTAGTATCTCTCCACTCCACGGATGGACTTTGAACCATTCTTTCCCCCAAACCAAAACAATTCTTGCACAGCAGAAGTGGACTTCTTTCCATCCTGACATCCAGCTCTGTGAAACTCTTCCCTCTCCCCACTGCCCTGTGGGCTGACTCCCTAGAGCCCTGCATCCTGGCATGGATCTCATTTCCCATTTGCTCAGCTCTTTGCTTTATCCTGGCCAAATACTCAGGTGCCCTCTTCTCTGTGCCTTAAACAGGTCTCAGCATATGTTCCAGCAGTTCAATCCCCTACTTTACAGTTTCTTTAAAGAACATGATAGAGCAATAAGAAAGCACTGGCTGAATTTCAATGAGTACAAGTGTGACAGCACACTTGGGTAATTAATAGGGGTGAGGAGGAGATCGGAGTGGTGTATTTATGGTGATTATTTCTTTATTATCTTCTAGGTATGATATAAACTGCAGAGGCAGTGAATGCAGACTCTACCACTAAAACTCTGAGGTAGAATTTCCCTGTTTTGTAGTGTTGAATATTTCATGAATTTCAAATGCTAATTATGAGTTACTTACTGCCTGCTAGGAACAACAGCCAGCTTTGAGAGGACTTGCTGCCATTCTTCCAATCTATACCACATGTTTGTTGGCTCCTTTTTTTGTCTGAGAATCTGAGGGTTCAAGGGTGATGACTGAAACTCTCACCCAAGCAAAGGTGGTCCTAACAGGCTAGAGTGCAGAAAGCTTGCATTGCTGCTTTCTGTACCCTGAGCTAGAGGATATCGGTTTTTATGGCTCTCAGTCTATTCTTCTATACTCATGAGCTCATTAGGAATGTGATTTTTCACATTTGCATTGCAGCACTGGATTTTTATTAAAATAGCACCACATACGTAAGTACACATATATAGGTATATATGAGCTGCAAAATCCCCTAAGAAACAAATGGGTCTTTGGCTGCTTCACCTGTGTTCTCCCTGCTAAATCTGTTCTCTTTGTATCTGTGCCAATTCTTGAAGAACTATCGGACAAACACTGCTAAAAATGAGATTATTTCCCTATACCCCCTCTGAATGTACTGTGCAGCCAATAATAGGCAAGACTTCATCCTACAACAGTCCTAGCTTTTCTGAAATGTTCTAAAGATGTGCCTATAAAGGTCTAATTGCTGACATGGAAGGCACTGCCTAATGCCAACAATAAATAATGTCCGTGATAGTAGTTTCATACCATTAGACAAGGATAATTCCCAGCCTACTGCACTTAGTTCTTGGAAGGCTCTCAAATAAAGTATCATTACTTTGAAGTTCTCTGGACACAACATTGTCATTACATCTTAAGGATTTTGAACCTTCCTCTGAGTTTGGTACCTATAACTCCTGGAGCCAAATTTTTAGAAGTGTTTAGGAACCCACACTTCAACACAGAGCTGTACAAGAATGCACATTCTGGTAGCACTTTGGGCTACCTGCTTTGGCCTATTTGCGAGACAAGGCCTAGATTCGATACAGCACTTAAGTTGTCATTTCAGGTTAAGCTTATTTTTTTTCCCCAAAATGGGACTATAGGATTTGCTGAAATGATATGCCCAAAAAGTTGCTTCAAAGCAGGTGTTAAGTGAAGCTTAATGCTTTGTAGATAGATGTAAAAGTAACAAATATGGTCCCCAAAAAATAAAAACTTCTCTGTATCTGAGGAAACTCATGCATCATACAGAGGCTGGACACTGGTGGCTGGGAAGTGCTAGCCAGAATTCTGGGCACGGGGATATCTGCATGCTTCTGTAATTGTGCAGCAGTGTGCCATCAGCCTGACTCAGTCTTTGTACCTGATAATTTTCTTTCCTAGCTACAGAAGTGATAAAGGAGCATTCTGCTATTTGTGTGCTCTGTTGTGTTCTTTCTCCACTTCAGGGCTTTAAGAGAATCTTATTTGTGTCATCAAATAAGGCAGCACTCAGAATAATCCCAGAAAGGCCAGGAAAGAAAGAACATATGTATTTTCTGAGAGCCGGCTAGAATACCTATAGCTGAAAGAGGACGAACAACTTGATTTCTTGAGCACATCCCTTATTACACTGTCATTCTCTGGGAACATTAGGGACTGTGTTTAAGAAGCTGAATCAGTTTCAGATGTTATGCACCTCATTAATCAAAACACATCCTTTTGGAAGGCAGTTGATTGCAGCTTAAGCACAGAAGTGCTTACACCTCAGCATCCCTAGTGCCTGGAGGAGGGAAGAAGAAGAAAAGAGACCTTTAATGCTATCACAGGCTTAGTTCACATTATCTAATCTGCAGGAGCATTTGAAAATGGAGATTTGTTTCCCCTAAAAAGCTTGTTCTACCAGAAATTGTCATGAAAATAATAATATTAAATAATATTTGCACTGAGTAGCTCCACTGTAGAGTATTTCAAATGAGTCACAGCCAGTCTAAGTTGTGCCAGAAGGTGGGAAGAGAAGAGGAGCAGGTGAATGCTTCAGAGAAATACTGGAGAGAGAGAGTGAGACAGCAGGCAGAGATGGAGAAGCATGTGCTGTCTGTGTGTGTGGTGAAGCCACTGCTGATGGCTGCATTTCCTTGCAGCCTGCAAGTAAGAGGTGAAGTAACAGCTTGCTGCTTTAAATGGCAGAGTTACCTTAGGCCAGTGACAGGTGACTCCTGGAAGGGAAAAGGTGAATATTTGCTTACAAAAGCAAAAGCGCAGAGATCAAGTGAGGATTTCCTCACTGCTTGCAGTGGGCATTCGTTGTTTGTGTTTAGCCTCCCTGCACAGTTCATGTGGTTTCTTTTTCCTAGGAGGTATGATTTTAAATGTATGAAACAAGAAACATTCTAGAAAGCCTCAGATATTGAATCTATGCAAAAATCATTGAATCATAGTATAGTTTGGGTTGGAAGGGACCTTCCAAAATGTATGCAAACAGTCTCTCATATGGCTAAACAGATTCTTAGTTTAACTCCACTGGTTTGAAAGGCTTTGCACTAGTAAATAATTTGAATTAGTTTATCAATCTGAGAGCTTCTTACACGTAGCAGAATAAGCAGCCATTCTCAAAGAAGTGCAGGGCTCGACTGACTGCCACCTCTTTTCTTCCTTTTCTCCAAAAAAACCCTAAAGAACAAAAGGTAGGGAAATGCCGGATTTTAGCCTTTTTTTTCCTCTGCTTTGGCCTTTATTATGTGAGATGCAATGTAACCAGCAGTGAAAGGAAGCAGGATTCCCATCCGGAGCCGGTATTTTCCCAGGACCAACCTCCTGGCAGACACACAATCGAGGGTGAGCCACGGAAAGTGCTGACTCAGGTGCCCACGGGGAAGTGGGTTTCCCCGTGTCGCAGGGAGAGCCCACGCATCCCACACGCTCCTCGCTGCCATCCCCGCCCCCCCTCCCGCAGGCTGGCGGGGGAAGCTCTTTCAGATGCCGCTGCCTTCTTTTCTGAATGACTTCTACAGATCCGTCCCCGCAGGGGAGAAATAGTAACGCTGTGCATGTCTAACGGGGGAGCAGGGCAGCAGAGCAAAGAGAAACCTTCCGAACCTTGGCTGGGTTGCAGGCAGGTACAAAACACAACGTGTTTCTTCCCGGCAGGCAAACTTCGGCTGGAAAAGACAGGCAATCCCCACGCCCCTGCTTTTCATGCAAGTGAGATTTTCAAGGTGAACCGCTGTTTTTCCCTTAGATTTGGATTTGCCCCTTCCCACAAACCCCCCCTTTGTCTTCACAAGCAAAGCTGCACCAAAGCAGCCCCAGCTCCAGAAGGAGAAAGAATCATCAGCATCTGGGAGGAAAAGGGATCTTCTTGCTCGTGTTTTTTGTTTTTTTTGTTGTTTTTTTTTTACGTTTATGCTGCTGCGGTTTTTAAATTCGCGGCCGCCCTGTAATTTTTGCTGTTAAACCGAGGATGGCACTAAGCCCGGCACTGCCGCTGAC